CTCATCCGACCATAACATTTTTTCAAAGAACTGTGGATCTTTCCTGTGTCTTTCTAACATTGTGCGACAAAAAGCAACTCGGGGCTCATAATCCCGGGGCAGGAGAGGTTGAACACGCTGTATGTGGTATGGATGAAGCACATAACTTACTTGCTATTGCACACTTTGATACCGATCAGTACTCCTTCGTTTACTGCGCATCTTTACATGTTCGTGCTTGTTGATTTCGTACTGTTACTAATTTTGTATTCGTGAACTGGACTGTTGATCGCTTGTGATTTGGATTTGGACTGTTTAATTGCTCTTCAAAACAACATTTGCTTTCCTTAGACTATCTAATATGCTAACATGCACCTCATTTATGGGGAATGCAGATGCAACGCAAGTGCTGCAGCGAGACTTTACTGTGAGAGGTACCAGAATGCAGCTCGTCATCCAGGTCATCGAGTGTTCACAAATGTGCACCGCTTACTGTTCTCAGAGGGCCAACTACCAAACCAATCACACGGTGAGGGAAGATCTTTCTTTCCTTACGAAGACGTGGAGCTAGAAGACCCGAGTACTTCAGTGCGTGCAATAGAACTAGAAACAGATGTGCCCAAAAGTACAGCCCATAGAATCTTGCAAAAAAACGTGCTCCATCCATACCACGTACAGCGTGTTCAAGCTCTTCTGCCCCGGGATTATGAGCCCCGAGTGGCTTTTTGTCGCACAATGTTATAAAGACACAGGGAAGATCCACGGTTCTTTGAAAAAATTTTATGGTCAGATGAGACCACATTCAAGAAAGATGGGTACATGAACCTGCATAACTTACACGAGTGGCACGTAGCAAACCCACATTTGATGAGAGAAGATAAATCTCAAAATCGCTTCAAGATAAACCATTGGAGAGGAATTTTAAATGGTAAAATAATCGGTCCGTTTGAGTTCCCAGAGACTTTGACTGCTGAGGTTTATTTAGGTTTTTTGCAAAATCATTTAGAAAATTTATTGGAGAACGTGCCACTGAGTATTTACAGGGACATGTGGTTTCAGCATGATGGCTGCCCAGCGCACTATGCACTCTCAGTGAGAGAGTATCTCGATCAAAACTTTCCAGGCAGATGGATAGGGCGATCTGGTACAATACCGTGGCCAGCCCGGTCACCAGATTTGAATCCGTTAGATTTTTTTTACTGGGGAACTGTAAAAGAAAAAGTGTATTTCAAGCCGATTCAAAATGTAGCTGAGCTACGGCAAAGACTATTGGAAGCAGCTGAGTTTGTTAATAACCGTGGATTCGCTCGTTTAATAACCCGATCTTTTTTAAGAAGTCGAGCGTGTATTGCGGCTGAAGTTGAACAGTTGAACAGTTTGAGCATTTGCTGTAAAGGTAAATCATCATCAGCAGCATTTTGACGCCCACAGTTGTGCAAACAGTTATCCTTAAGGGTCCTTGTGCGTTTTCATAATCGCTGTTTAATTAGGAAATTTTGAAAAATTTTCATCAGTTCTTCTTCAAATAAAAATTGTGCATAAGTTAACGAGTAATCTTCTAAGTGTTACCATTTTGGAATCCTTATTAAATGCGCCAACTTTTAAGGTTACTTGCCAAACTCTCGTAGTACATTTTTTTCCAGTACAGCCAGTTAAATTTGAGCAAAGTTTTACTTTGGAATACTTGGTTGGGAAATAAGTGGCAATTTTTCCTGAACGAGAAAAGTTGGCAGTAAGGTTGAGACACCAGTTTGAAGATGCATTATTCATCGTTACATTGTAAAAATAAAATCTAAAAAAAGTTAATATTTGTAGTAACAGGAGTTGACAGACTGCCCTAGGGTGTGAAATTTCTATATTTTTTTCAAAGACCTATAATTTTCAAAACACATACATAAAATTTTTTTAAATATTTTTCTGATAGCTGTTATGACTTTGCCTATCAGCCGGTTTCGGCTTGACGTCGACTTCTGGGATTTATATACAGATAATATAGTGCCCACCTTGTGTGTCGCCTTGCCGCTAGCTATTATACCTTCATACGTCACTCGAAACGAACGCTGAAGATGCAATATTTATAAATAACCCCGTGGTGCACGGCATGTGCGACCGATAGGCAATCCATCTGCTAAAAATATGTTTCTAATTTTAATTGCAAATGTACGGACAAATCCATGAGGTGTGAAATGTGCTTAATAGGTGTGCAGAATTACTGGGGTTGGAAGTGTATTAATATACTTATATGAAAAGATCAACATATATCCTTATCCACCTCCTTCAACCTCTGTACTTTCCACGTAACTCTGTCATCGATTCGTAAAGGAATATGTTTTGGCACACGTTAGCGCTAGGAAAAAAGTTAGCTACAAGCATGTATAAGAAAAAATTGAATGATGCTCCTTCTCCAGACAGTAATTCCTGTAGGCCCACATGATCGTTCCAATGACCAATCCCACTTGAATGACGATATTGGCTTTCACCATGCACAGTACACACTGCACACAGCAGTGCGGAAGAGATTGCCGACTGGGACGTACGACCACCGATGACGACGCTTGTCCATCGGGGGACACCGTCGTAAGTATCGACGACACCGGCCTGTAGCTTTAAGGGTGATTGTACTGGGAAACATGCTTAATATGTGCATAGATTTACTGGGCTTGGAGGGGTATAAATACATACAGGCATATCAACGTCAAAAAAATGAGACATACTCTCTCCCACCCCATGCAATCCCTAACCCCCCCATTCTGAAGCCCTACAAAACGCTCTTCCGAAAAACATCAAGATCGTCTGAAATGTTAAAAAGTTTGAGCGATTTTTATTCTTTTTCGTTTGTGGCATTTTTATCTGCTGTCACTAAACCAATTCTCAAAAACTGCTTTTGCGTCCTAGGCATAATAGTAAGATTATGTATAATCCGAGCTTTGCTTCTCAAGTCACGAGGGTTGTCTCAAAAATAAGGTTCCCACATTGTTTAGACACAAGGAATTTTTTATTTGAAAAAATGAATTTACCATTGGGAACGTTGATCTTTAAGCTATTTTGCTACATAGTCGCCATTTTTTCTACGCATTTTTTTAGACGTGGAATCCACTTTTCACACCCAGAAGTCCGCTTGGAAACTGGCGGTGACGGCGCTGTAAGGCTCCATTGCGCATGGTTATCAGGCCAATAGGCGCTTTTTGTTGGGATCGGTGGTGCGGGAGCCGACAAATACGACAATGGTGTCAGATTTCGCGTAGCATTACGCGCGCCAAAGTTGTAGCGTTTAGAACCCTATTTTTGAAACCCTTGTAAAGGGTTGTCCAATAGGGACGCAGGAAAGTAAACGTCAATTTGACATAGACGCCATTTTTGTTTTCTGTCACCGACATGTCATTTTGTTAGTTGAATGTTTACCATTGATCGCTATGGAGTCGTATTCGATTGAAGACCGCAATAAAGTTATTCAAGAACACTACAAAAATGGTGCAAAAATAAAAAACACGTTTCGCGCGCTTCGTGAACATTTCGGTCGCAACAACCGCCCAAACGAAACAACCATCGGACGTCTGGTGCGTAAATTCGAGGCAACAGGTTCTGTAGCAAATCTGCCAGGCTCTGGCCGGCCAAGGAGCGTTCGCACACCGGAAAATATTGCTGTTATGAAGGGGAGTGTGAGAGACAATCCGAAACAATCAACAACGCGTCGATCCCAAAAATTGGGCATTTCGAGAACCAGTTTGCTCCGCATTCTCCACAAGGATTTGAATGTATACGCCTACAAGATCCAATTCACGCAAGAGCTGCGTCGGGCCGACCATTTTTCGCGCCGAACGTTCTCAGATTGGCTCCTTGAAAACCGCCAAATTGAGATGCCAATTTTTCATCAAAAGTCATGTTCAGCGACGAAGCGCATTTCACTTTGAATGGGACGGTAAACAAGCAAAACTGCCGAATCTGGGCGAACGAAAATCCTCGTGAGTATCAAGAGCAGCCGATGCATCCTCAAAAAGTGACTGTGTGGTGTGCATTGTGGTCAAAAGGCATCATCGGACCTTACTTTTTCGAAAATGCGGCCGGGGACGCCGTTACCGTCAATTCTGAGCGATATCACGTGATTATAGAGGACTATTTTTTGCCGCAACTTGAAGGAATGGATATGGACGATGTTTATTTCCAACAAGACGGTACAACATGCCACACAACCAACGTCAATATCCATCGATTGCAGTCCTTCTTCGGTGATCGCGTGATTTCGCGCAGAGGAAATATGCCATGGCCACCAAGATCGTGCGATTTGACTCCCTTGGACTTCTTTTTATGAGAATATTTGAAAAGCAAAGTCTACGTCAACAAACCAGCCACCCTCCAAGAACTCAAAAACAACATCATTGCCGAGATAAATGCCATAGAACCGAACGTGTTGCAAAATGTCATTGAAAATTTCGACCATCGCGTGGACGTCTGTAAATCCAGTCGTGGTGAACATTTGAGCGATATTATTTTTCATACATAAATGGTATAAATGAACCTTCAAAATAAACTACCCAACTTGATTTGAATATCAATCGTTCTTGTTTTAATATGCGTTTACTTTCCTGCGTCCGTTTTGGACAACCCCCTATATGCCGTGAAACGATAGGGCACAAATTTCCAAATATATTTTTTAATGAGCTTTGAGCCATTCAAGAAAAAAACTGGTCCAGCCGTAAGACAAACAAGCACATGCCTGTGTGTATGGTGGGAGTATTATGGGTTTGACCTTAACACGGTTGAGGCCGCTTAAATAGTGGCCAGATACCCCGATAGTCGATTTAAATCAGCTGGCACATTAAGAAAGCTGACCTCACCCGCACTGGTCTCAGCAATTACCCCAGATCCAAGAAACCATTAATTAAGGATCAAGTTACACGTGACTTCGTGGACTTGACCTAAAGTCAAGAATAATTAATGCATATCAATTAAAGCGTCAGCGTTGAGTAATTATCGCTTAGAGTAAACATTAACCATAGAAAAGTGTTCTTTTATTCCAATGACGTCTCAATACCGCATTGGTGGTTGATGAATAAATCCTATCCAGTCTGGAACTGCTCTTGACAATGAAAAGCTGTGGGTATTTTCGAAGAGCTGGAAACTAAGGAGCTTAGTGCTTTTGGATTAGTGTAGTTCTTGTTCATTGTCAGGTAATAACCTTAACAAAACCTTAGAGTTATTTACGATTTTATATAAGCCCTATGACGACATAATATTATTAGTAGCACGATAAGTTTTAGAATAAGCATTGTATATGTTTAAAGCTTAAAAACGCGTGCATAATTCCTAAATGAAGAAGTTAAAGACCGACATAAATGAATGATATTTTTTAGTGTAGATCTAATGTAAGCATTAGAAAATTAAAAAGCGTACCTCAAGTTCAAACTCTTGGTAAAATTTAAGAGTTCAGACCCCCCAAAGATTATTTTAACAAAAATTCATAAGTAAATATATAATATATACTAAGTGACATAAATCCGAACACCCAGTTTAAATGGTTTTATTTTAATAAAATTTTGTATAAGTACTTAATGAAGCATAATAAGTAAATGATAAAAATTTCAAAATGATTGCACTGCTTTAAAGCCCTTTGACCTTTAATAATGTGTGGATGCACCCTGATGTGCTACGCATTCTCCAACGTGCCTAGGCATGCTTCTGATCAGGTGGTCAATGTCCTGCTGTGGTATCTCATTCCAGGCAACCAGCAACTCCTCTCGAAGTGCTTCTAGAGTCTGAGGAGGACGTTGCAAATTGAGCAATCTCCTACCCATCATATGCCACACGTGCTCAATTGGGGATAAGTCGGGAGATCTTGGTGGCCATGGTAACAATGTGACATCATTATGTTGAAAAAAGTCTATTGTGACTCTTGCAACATGTGGTCGGGCATTATCTCGTTGGAAAGTTGGATCTGCCAGGGTGTCAAGATAGGGTAAAAGATGGGGTTCTAGAACTTCGTGGATATAACGCTGCGCGTTCATGTTACCTCTGATGAAGATTAAAGGTGACCTGGAACCATAAGCTATAGAACCCCAAACCATAACTCCAACAGTGTGATGAACATGTCTTTCAACAAAAAACTGTGGATTCCTCCTTTCACCACGTCGCCTTCTAACCCTGGCACGACCATCGTGCATGCCTAAACAAAATCGAGACTCGTCACTAAAGACAATACTGTTCCATTCCTGATCCCAGAGTGACCGTTGTCTGCACCACTCAAGGCGATTACGTCGGTGTTCTCGAGTTAAAGGGAGGACCCAGTGTGGCCGGTATGAAAACAAGCCAAAACTTCTCATTCGTCGGTAAACACTTCGCATGCCAATAGGTCGTCCGTGTTCTGCAAACCATTCATTTGCAATGGACCTGGTAGTGGAGAAACGGTTCCTTAAGGCCAATAATCTTAGGCGGCGATCTTCACGGTCTGTTGTTCTACGGCGGCGTCCAGTGCCCCTTGCTCTTTGCGTACGGCCTTCTCGAAGCCATGCCTGACAACACCTAACCACAGTGTCTACATTTCTTTGCACTCTAACTGCAATTACCCGAAAAGAAAGTCTAGCTTCCCGAAGTCCCACTATACGGCCCCTATCAAACTCACGAAGTTGACGAAATCGTACAGGTCTCCGTACTCTAGGCATCGTAACCGATCGTAAATGATGTCAAGAACCAAAATTCGACAACGTTGATTCTTTACTGCGGCTGAAATATTCATTTTTAGAGCGTTAGTGAATTAAAAAAAAGCAGTATAAAAACCGGAATGTCCAACTGATAAGGCTGAAAATTTTTTCACTTGTTATTTACAGTAAGATAAATACATTCACCAACTTTTATTAAAATAAAACCATTTAAACTGGGTGTTCGGATTTATATGTCACAGTATATATATATATATAAATATAAAATAAATAAAAAATAGCAGCAATATTCTTAGGTCAGTATGACAATAATACGAGTAATTTTCGTAAGCATGGGTCATACTGAGATAAAATGTATTGAAGTAGAAGTGGTCGTAAAAATTACAAACAAAATTAAACATGAATTTTCTATAATACATGATTTTTGCTGCAAAGGCCGTAAATGGGAAATACGAGTATATCAATCTACTGCTTTTCTACTCTCAAATTTTTATTTTAAATGACGTTTATTTACCTTGTAGCCAATAATTAAACCATAAATAAGCCTGTATATGTGTATAGTTTCTCATCATGGGTGAGAAACAAAACTTGGACCTTCTCGATGATGTGATAAGCCGGCCCAGGAAAAGAAGCGTGTACTTAGAAGGGGCAGCTCCGTTCTACCAAAATAAAGGTAATATTTAATTTCGGAAACTCAAAAACTAAATCTGTATTTCATCGGACAGCTCAAGTTGAAGTTTTGCGTCATTTTGGAATAAATCCTAATACTTCATTACGCAAAATTATTGCTGCGACTGATATTTTATTAGGCTCTGTACACACAGTTACTAAGCTCCATAAATGTCATCCATCCAAAATGAAAATACAGGGTGTTTCAGAACTAACTAAGTTTGCAAGAATTTAACAAAAATTAGTTGTTGCTAATAACTTTACCAATCAAGAATTGGCGGATATGAATTTGGCATACGGAGCAACAAGCTGCAATGCACGAGCAGCAGCGCGGTTGTATCAAGAACGTTACCCCGAACGACAGCATCCGGGATACAAAAAGTTTATTGCTATTCATCGGCGGCTCTCCGAGACAGGCATGTTTAAAACCAACATGCATGATACTGGTGTTGCTCGAACCGTAAGAACGGTAGAATTTGAAGAAGAGGTTCTTCAGCGAGTTGCCGACGAACCATCAAGTAGCACACGTCACATTGCTGAGGATATGAATACGAGTAACGCTTCCGTCTGGCGGGTGCTTCACGAGCAACAACTTTATCCTTACCACTTCTGGGCTCTACTCTGTTATACGCACTTCTTCCAGGAGCATTGGTAGCTAAAAACAATGCATCCAGATCATGTCACTTAAAGTGTTGTATAGCAAACCCTATGACTTTTTGATAACGTGGATTTTCATCTGGCCCTCCATCAACCGTCATGATTACCACTGGTTTCATTAGTCCATCGTCAGTTTTAGCTAATGGTTGAAACTCTTCAAGTTCGAGAAGCGTCTCGAAATCCTGAGCATGAGTATTAGCAGTAGATGAACTATGTTTTCCACTTCGAATAGCGATGTATGTTGGTCCAGAATATCCAACGGCTTGCGGTTGTCCTAGCAAATTGGGAGTGATTTTGATACCAGCATAAACAGATGGTATTAATTTATGACGCTCAGCGATTACCCAATCGTGATCAGGCAATTTGATTCTATATTCCATGTGCATTAGAAGAGGTGCTTGCTTATTTGCCGCAGTTACGCCAATAGGGACTCGAGCTTTATCATCTTGAGATATAAAAAATACTTGATCTGGTTTTAACTATGGATGCTATGTTCTCTAAATAATGGATTGATGTTTCAGTGAACTTGCTATCTAAGTGGCTCTTGTGGTGATCAGTTTGAGCCCGAATGAGCTTAACAGGGACTGTCGATACATGTCTTCGTCCCTCTGCAGAATTAGATTTTCTGGGAATCAAACGAAGATATGTCCCACTGCGACTAATGTCAAATCCTAATTTACGTAACTGTTGTGTGAATTCATCAAGAGATTTCACGCTGTGAATTGATTACGTTCGTGTTCTATCATCTGCTGCACTCCCAAATAAACCTATATCCGCGATTGTTTTCAATAGTGAATGTTGATTGCTTTCAAGATTAGGACGTCCCACTGAATCCCCCAGAGATAGTCTCTTTTTTATTTCTGGATTTTCATGACAAATATCTTCTAACTTTCTTTTCATACCATACTGTGTTTCTTCTGGGCAACTGCGTTTTGAACCTTCCTGTTTAAAGACTGTTTTGCTGTTTTTATTTCCTCGCGCAACTTAATGATCTATACTAAGTGACATATAAATCCGAACACCCAGTTTAAATGGTTTTATTTTAATAAAATTTTGTATAAGTACTTAATGAAGCATAATTAGTAAATGATAAAAATTTCAAAATGATTGCACTGCTTTAAAGCCCTTTGACCTTTAATAATGTATGGATGCACCCTGATGTGCTACGCATTCTCCAACGCGCCTAGGCATGCTTCTGATCAGGTGGTCAATGTCCTCCTGTGGTATCTCATTCCAGGCAACCACCAACTCCTCTCGAAGGGCTTCTAGAGTCTGAGGAGGACGTTGCAAATTGAGCAATCTCCTACCCATCATATCCCACACGTGCTCAATTGGGGATAAGTCGGGAGATCTTGGTGGCCATGGTAACAATGTGACATCATTATGTTGAAAGAAGTCTATTGTGACTCTTGCAACATGTGGTCGGGCATTATCTTGTTGGAAAGTTGGATCTGCCAGGGTGTCAAGATAGGGTAAAAGATGGGGTTCTAAAACTTCGTGGATATAACGCTGCGCGTTCATGTTACCTCTGATGAAGATTAAAGGTGACCTGGAACCATAAGCTATAGTACCCCAAACCATAACTCCAACAGTGTGATGAACATGTCTTTCAACAAAAAACTGTGGATTCCTCCTTTCACCACGTCGCCTTCTAACCCTTACACCGACGTAATCGCCTTGAGTGGTGCAGACAAAGGTCACTCTGGGGTCAGGAATGGAACAGTATTGTCTTTAGTGACGAGTCTCGATTTTGTTTAGGCATGCACGATGGTCGTGCCAGGGTTAGAAGGCGACGTGGTGAAAGGAGGAATCCACAGTTTTTTGTTGAAAGACATGTTCATCACACTGTTAATAGATAAAGATAATGCCCGATAATGCCCGACCACATGTTGCAAGAGTCACAATAGACTTCTTTCAACATAATGATGTCACACATGAGGGTGCATCCACACATTATTAAAGGTCAAAGGGCTTTAAAGCAGTGCAATCATTTTGAAATTTTTATCATTTACTTATTATGCTTCATTAAGTACTTATACAAAATTTTACTAAAATAAAACCATTTAAACTGGGTGTTCGGATTTATATGCCACTTAGTATATTTATCAACATCAGCACGGCTTGGCATAGTATCTCTGGCAGAATACAAAGCATTCAGATTTTTTTCTAGTAGAGCAATCTTATTTTTTATAGCTTCCTGTTTATCTGTATTTTTATTAATTTCGCATTGCTGTTATGATTCATTACCGGGTTTTATTTTATCTTCTTCCTCTTTTTTAATATTTGAAGCTGACTGTATAATTTGTGTTTTTTCTGCAGGATTACAGGTTGCCTAAAAATAAAAACTTTATATGGCTTCTGCTAAAGATTCTCTTATTAAGCTACATAAATACAAAGTATGGCAAAATCATAAGAAATAAATCTATAATATAATGAATATCACCTCTATACTTTGAGATAGGCCATAATATTTTCTAATCAGTAAAGAGAAACTTTTTTGCGATTTCTAATATTTCTAGTACTCATAGGTACCTAAAATGATTTCGTCACTCACCTTAGAAAAAAAATTTAGTAGATTCGATTTATTCTTAGTCGCCGCTTGCAATTCTTCTTCGATTCTCTTAGATACAATAATATCTAGTTCCTTGTCGGATTTTGCTTGTAGTTTGTAATTTCGCCACACTTCGTTATGTAACTTTTGTACATTTTGTACTTTCGTACTTGTATGAGATTTTTTACTTGAACGGCCCCTTATACTTGATCAGCAGCGATATCGGTTGTTGCCCATAAGTGTTTTCCTTATGCCTTTACATTGATTATACTTTATTTTATCGTTATTGTATAGAGGTATAACTTTGCCAATTTTGTCATAAAGCTTTCGAATTGAAACGTACGTTTCTCGATTATATTTTTCCTAAATGATATGTTTTCAGGTGAGAATCCAATATCAAAAATAGCACCTGCGTCGGCTGGCCTCCCCGTCCACGCTTTCCAAGAGCGTAAGAATGTGGACAGCGTGCTACACGAGAGTCTCAAGCCAATGTTGACGCTCATGAGGGTTCTTGGTATATGTCCCATTACCCAGAGTGGCCCAACATTTATCGTCACTCTCCAACTCATGATATATTCAGTGGTCGTATTTCTCATAGTGTGTGGATATATCGGGTATATCAAGTGGGACAAAGTTGAAATGGTGAGGTATGTATGAGGTATATTTTAAAAAGTCTTGGTTTAGATACGGTGTCTTATCAAAAAAGAAGAAGAAGAGTTCATTAAAAGCACAGAAAACTAAAGACTATGGACATTAGTGTTTTCAGACATTAGGTTACTTCTACGATTAGTCTAAAACAATGACGTCTTACCTAAATAGACCCCGCAAGTCATTCATAAGTCCGCCGTTTGTTATGTTCGCGAACCTCAGTGGCGGGAAATACTAACTTTCATTCATAATTTTATGAAATTGGCCCAGGCTTGGAACAGCACAACCCTCAATGTCAACTACGGAATTCCCACCACAGGCGTATCACAATGTGGGCCATAAAGGGCTATAAAAGCCGATAAAGTTCTCAGTATATTGGAGATACAAAAAACGTCTTTCTTATAGGTATACAATTATTAAGGTGACCATACGTCCCACTTTCGGACTCTGTCCTACTGTTCCTGACAAAAACCTGGCGACATAAAAATGTCCCTCTTTTCGGTCGTGGTGTCTCCAACAAAAAGCATGGGGACGAAGAACATCCTACTTTTTCCAAACCATACGGAATACGTAAAATTTTTTAACGACATTGTTATATATATATAACAATGATAGTTTGTATAATTTTGACTATTGTACCATGTTACTGGGTGTTTCCCTCATCCTTAACGTAAATAACATTTAGCAACATCCTCACATACTACTGTAAGTTAATTTAAATTCATTTTGCACAATTGTTGCTACTTTTCTCAATGCAATTGCAGCTCCTGATGATGATGGCAAAGACCATTGAAAGCTAGAGAGATTAAAAAAGTATAAAGAGTCCTCCTTGCTTAAATTTTGTCGAAGTACCCAACAAAAGGCAGAAGCTTAAATTTTTCACCTAACTGGTATAGACGACAATGACCACGTCTCAAACGTCTCAATATATATATATACAGGGTGGCGCATCTAAAACGAAATAGACGCATTTACTGGCAGCTCGCTTTTTTTTGGAGGAAAACGCTCAGACCCGTCGATTTTTTTTTTCGAGGTGGACACAAGTCTGGCAAAAACTCACGTTAACACGTGCAGGACCCTGGGCGGGGGTGATACCAACCCTAGAATCTTAAATGGAAAAGGGGGTCGAGTGATACCTTATTTTAAGGGTCTTTCAATTCCTTTTATAATGATGTAAAATACATGAGCTTCACTTCATTAGTTTTGAAGATTTATTGATTTAAAGCTTAAAGTAGACTTTAATAGGTACATCAGATTAGTTTGTACTACTTTCAGAAGAAATTTGACTAAAGGATTTACTGAATAAGTAAATGCTTTTCTTCACTACGCCCAAGGTTTGTTTATTTATTTTGTTGTTGAAAAATAGCTATTGGAGCGTATTTTTTTTTGTGGCAAAAAAGTTATTTCTTGAAGAAAGATGAGGAAATATCTCGTACTTATTTTAAATAGGTATTTAGTACATAGTTTGCGATTGATTTGTCCAAACTTTGTTGATAAAATAACTTGTAACGCTTTATTACATAAATTATCCATGCTATATTCCACAGCAGAAAGAGTTGAAATTAAGGAAATATTTTTCGGAAATACTCAGTGCGAACAGCAGAAATATTTAATGAGTTACATGAGAACAGTAACGTGCATCGAAAATATGTTCTAGATCTAGAACTAGTAACTAAATTTCGGTAAACTGGGTCAGTCGCCAATAAAAAACGCAACATTGAAAATCCCATAAGGAATGAAGCAATAGAATTGGTGGTTTTAGGACAAGTTTATGGAGATCCTACGTTAAGTACCCGCAAATTGGAGACTGGTGTTAGTCGACGTATGGTTTATCTGAAGTCACTTGTTAAATAGCATAAAAACCTTTGGTCGGCGCGTCCTTTGTAATTTCATGACGTATCATAGGCGTGCGGTCATTTATTTAGAACGATAATAATAATGTTTTTATATCACAGAAAATGGATTTTACTATCTTCTTATTTTTTTGATTTGGGATAAAAAATACTTATATTGGGAGTTTAATTTATGTTGACTGAAAGTTAAGAAATGGAAAAATTAGAGAATTCCAACGTTTGACATAGGCAAATATTTACATAGCAGGTAGGTATATAAAAAGGTATATAAAGACTTACATTATAGGTATTTATATATCATCCTCGCCTTCGGAGCTGTTGCTAGAGTCATCTTGTAGAGGAATTACAACGGGATTTACAGGAGGCAAAACACAATATTCATTTTCTTTTTCAATAATATGCCTAGAACACTGCTTCCATAGGTCTGTGGCAGCAATATGAGATACTGCATCTCTTATTGTGGCCAATAGCGATTCACTTAATTGAGGGGTCTGATTATGTTTTCTTACTTTTTTTTTAAAGCAGCCCAGACCAACTCAATCGGGTTAAAAATGCAGTAATAGGGAGGTAGACGTAATACTTCATGGCCATTTTGCTGAAGCAGATTGTCAACAACATACTCTTTTTCAAATTTTTGTCTTTTAATAAGATCCAATAATATGGCTTTGGTTGATTTTTGTGGTATTTCCATTCCCTTATCCTTCATAAAATCAATAATGTCTTGTTTTTTGTGCCTGTATTCGGAATTTTGGTTTTCTGTCGGGAATGGTATGGCGCATTGTCCATAATAATCACTGAATTTGGGGAAATGTTTGGTATTAACTGCTGCTCTATCCACTTTTCAAATAAGTCGGAGGTCATGTCCTTATGATAGTCGGCACATGATTCTTTGATATTTTTGGCAGATAACAGCAAGGCATTAGGTATAAATCCATTTTCACTGCCAGCATGGAGAATAATGATTCGTTTTCCACGATTGCATGGTGCATTTAAAATGCACTTGTTGCTGTCGTCAACCCAGCCGTACTGCACAACATCATGGGTATCATACCACGTTTCATCCAGGTAAATCAGATTTCTTTTCTGCTCTCTATAGATTTTAACTTTGTGCAGTTTTACAATACAGTGCAGTGAGTCTAAGCATTTGTAATGATAAAAATCTTCAGGATAATCTTTTAATTTATCCCGTATCATTTCCAACGTGGGCACCAAATTTTCTTTATAAAATCCGTATATTATACGACGAATATCTTCCTGAAAACCCACGTCTATTCTTTTTAATTTTTGCCCTATGCGCTTTCTGTGGAAGGAATGCTTGACTACATCTCCCCTTTTTATAACCCGATAAATGGTAGACCGACTGATTTTTGTCAGGATACAAATTCTGTTTAAAATTTGAGTTTGCGAGGAATCGTTTTTCAGACAATCATACATATTTAGGATTACTCTTTGGGTCTGTTCCTCTAAATCTTTATGAAAGAATTCTGCCTGCACAGGTTCATCAACCATCTCCTCGTGGCTTGGAGCATTTTCCCAAGGTCTCCAAAGAGCCATATTTAGGACACAAGAACAATCAACACAACAATTAAATCAACAAGTAAACTGAGTATTCAAAAGTCAAAAACACACAAACTAATAAAATCTATGGAAAAACACGGACAGACTAAAGAAAACACGTTTATTCACCGCTACACGGCACTGGCTAAACTGTTTCAATTTTCAGTAGCCACCTGCACTTGTTCGGAGCTCTGAAATACACGCTGTCTCATTGGCTATGTCCACGCATAGGCGTGCTTTACTCCACGTGGACCGGTGAAACTGCCTTTGATCTTATACGGGGGATATTTGCTGCGAAATTTGGCGATTTTTGCAGCAACAGAGCGTGTTAAATATAGATATTTAAAACGCACCCGGTATTTCACAGTGTTTCAAGTGACTTCAGATAAAGTTTACTGTCCAACGGATTCTAAAGGCACATAGTTTTCATCCGTATAAAATTCACCTGGTACAAGAACTTAATGAAGACGATTTTGATCGGCGATTACAATTTTGTGAAGATATGAGTGAACGAATTATAAACGATGAACATTTTCAATTCAACACTTGCTTTTCCGACGAATGTTCCTTTTTCTTGAATGGCGTAGTAAATCGTCATAAATGCCGATATTGGTCCGATTCTAATCCCAGAATTTATCATGAGGTAAATTCGTTTTTCAAATACCTGGTTAACTCAGATTCTGTAATCCACAAAAATAATGGGACAATCTGCCTGTCGTTAAACTTTTGTGAATGTTTAATCTTGGTAATCGCTGTCACGGATTTGGCGGATTTTTGGAAGAGTGGAATGAACTCAAGCTTCCACAATGATTTGTGTATTTTTGCGGAGCAAATATAATAATATTGTCATTAACCAATTGTATTGTTATAGAACGGCTGAAGGGAGATTCGAAGAAGCAGTGATTGACTACTTATTCACCATCTATTTGGTACCTATTGTAATCAATATGTTATCCTGGTACGAGGCCAGAAAACAGGCCAGGGTACTAACAAATATCATGGCATTCGAAAAGGTGTATTTCAAAGTAACCAGAAAGAGATTCAAACGATTCCTTGGTAATAAACCATTCATTACTACAATAGGATTACTCATTCTTGCCACTGCAACCATGACAGTAACTCATATTACTATGGTGCATTTTAAGCTGCTACAGGTAACAATTCTATCAGTTTAGCCTTACATGGTGTTTATTTGAAAACTTTCCACAACAGATTTATCTACTGATTAAAAGGAAAAACGCCTATACACGTCAGAAGATTTGTCAAGAGGGACAACTGTTTAACCAAAAACTACTTCAGCTCCTTTCACCCTCTGCCTCCAGGGTCCTTTTAAACACTTATTGAAATAAAAAGTCATATTTTCGCGTGTTTTTGTTTTCTATCTGAACCAATTAAGATAAATAAAGATTTTTATAATTTTCTTCAAAACGAATTGACTGATGTAAAAAATCAAACGTCAAAATGAAGGACTTTGAAAGACCTTTCAAACAAACTATTACTCGATACCTCTTGTCATTTAAAATTTTTAAGGGAATGGCCCTGGGGGCCGAGGGTGAGAGGGGGTGAAGTAGTGTTTGGTTAAAAAGTTGTACCCCTTGACAAATCTTTTGATGTGTCTCGGCGTGTTTTTTTTAAACAGTTGTTTCCGATAAATCTGTGATAGGAACTTTTCAAATGAACATCGTTATTGTCCAATATGGACGCAGGAAAGTAAACGTCAATTTGACATAGTCGCCATCTTTGTTTTCTCTGTCACCGACATGTCATTTTGTTAGATGAATGTTTACCATTGATCGCTATGGAGTCGTATTCGATTGAAGACCGCATTAAAATTATTCAAGAGCACTACAAAAATGGTGCAAAAATGAAAAACACGTTTCGCGCGCTTCGTGAACATTTCGGTCGCAACAACCGCCCAAACGAAACAACCATCGGTCGTCTGGTGCGTAAATTCGAGGCAACAGGTTCTGTGGCAAATCTGCCAGGCCCTGGCCGGCCAAGGAGCGTTCGCACACCGGAAAATATAGCTGTTGTGAAGGAGAGTGTGAGAGACGATCCGAAACAATCAACAACGCGTCGATCCCAAGAATTGGGCATTTCGAGAACCAGTTTGCTCCGCATTCTCCACAAGGATTTGAATGTACACGCCTACAAGATCCAATTGACGCAAGAGCTGCATCGGGCCGACCATTTTTCGCGCCGAACGTTCTCAGATTGGCTTTTTTTTATATCGAAACAGCCGCGCAGGCAGAACCTAAATGCCGGAACACCGCGGCTGCTATGATGATCCCAAAGAAATTTTGTTAATACGATTTTTGAACTGCCTAAGGTTAGTAGAAGTGGGAAAAGCTTCCTCCCGTAGATTGTTCCACAATCTAGACACCCTCGGGACAAAGGAGCGGTCGTATCGGCCAGTTCTGGATGTACGAAGTTTGACACGGTTAGGATGGGACGCCGAAGTCAGGCGAGTCTGTCTGGCAGGCACATCGCGCGGCGGCATCATGGAAGAGAGCTCTGAGGAGCAAAGCCCGTTGGTGTAGCGATAGAAAAGAGCTAGATCGCCGACGGCCCGCCGGTGCGAAAGAGTCCCGAGACTGTCTGTTAGGGAAGAGTCATCGATCAGTCGGACCGCCCTCCTCTGGACAGCATCGAGCATGGACAATGTAGTCGGGGCGGCAGCACCCCAAATGTGTGAGCAATACTCGAGGCTAGGCCTTATCTGGGCCTTGTATAGAGTGAGAAGGTCATGCGGAGAAAAGTACTTCTTAGCCCTAAACAAATAGCCTAGCTTTTTCCCAGCAGCTGCAGCTATTGAAGAGATGTGTTCGTGCCAGAAGTACAGTACTGTGTTTTGGAAGCATTGAACTGTACAAGATTGTTGCGTCCCCAAGCAGTGATAGCCTCCAGGTTTCTTGTCAGAGAAGAAGTCGTCGCTAGTCTTCTTTTTCCCAGCTCTGCGGCAGAGATCGGCCTGTCACTCTGAATTCCTGCATGTAGAGTGCTGTCATCAGCGAAGCTGTGGATTGGGTTGATCGTGCAGGAAAGGAGGTCGTTGATATGTAAGAGAAACAGTGTTAGAGCCAAGACCGATCCCTGGGGAACACCCGCGTTGACGTTGTGGGATGAAGAGGAGAATCCGTCAATTACGACGGATATCTTGCGGCCAGAGATAAAGTCAGCCACCCATCTGCAAAGCATTTCTGGGAGGCCGTAGGATGGAAGTTTGCTTAAGAGGGCAGCGTGCCACAGCTGATCGAACGCTTTCGTGATGTCAAGAGCAACGACATGAGGCTCACCATGAGACTGGATGAGTTTTCTCCACAGTTGCGTGACGTAAGCTAGAAGGTCCCCTGTGGATCGTTGGTGCCGGAAACCGTACTGCCTGTCGCTAATCAAGCTGTGACGTTCGAGGTAGTCCAGGAGCTCGCGATTTATGCACCTCTCCATCACTTTACTTATAACAGAAAGCAGAGCTATAGGCCTGTAGTTGTAAGGGTCGGTTTTAGATCCTTTTTTTGGGATGGGCTGTATATGAGCAAATTTCCAGTTTTCTGGGAAGGTGCCGGATTCATAAGATATCTGGAAGAGACGCGAAAGAACTGGAGCAAGCTCCGCTGCACATCTCTTCAATACAATGGCAGGAATCAAGTCCGGACCAGAAGCTTTGTTGATGTCGAGCGACAAGAGCACTCGTCTTACGGTCTTATGCCTGAATGTTACCTCCCGCATAATGTGGGGAACCCTTTGAATTGACGGCACTTGGGCGTTGG